ACGGAGTTACCTCCCTTACTGCCAGTCCCTCCCTGGTCACCCACAGGTAAGCCCGGCCCCAGCCCCAGCCCCAGCCCACACAGCCCCCTGTGCCCATTGGAGCTGCCCCGTGTTCTTGGCGGCCCCCTATCTTGCTTCTCACGCCCTCACAGGCCCACCATGCAGCTTCATCATTCTATACCAGGTTTTCTCCTCTGGTCCCCAGAAACGGCCCTCCCTCTCCCCTCCAGGGGCCAGCTCGGTACCCCACCTCTGAGAAGCCAGCAGGCATAAAGCCACATGGACCTTCCAGTTGGGCTCTAGGCTCGGTGCATGGAGAAGCAGAGAGTCCTCAGCTTCCTGACACAGCCCCATGACAGCAGCCCCTCCAGAGTGCCACCTCAGAGTAGGGCTGGGACAACCTCCTCAGCCAGGGCCCCCTCCAGGCCCCCAGACCACTCTAGTAACCGGAGAGCCACCTGCACCCTGGCCCCCCACGCAGTCAGGGCTGGGGACCAAGCTAGAAGGCCTGTGAGGGCGGCCTCTGTGTGCTGTCATGGGTCAAGAAGGCAGGTTCTCCTCAGTCCAAGAAAGATCCTGAATACATAAAGCACTCTTACAACTCAACAACAAAAAGAGAAACTCAACCAAAAATTGGGCAAAGGCACGGAACAGACATGTCTCCAAAGAAGACACACCGATGTCCAACAAGCCCATGAACGCCTCACCAGGGATGTGCAAATAAAAACCACCCACCAGGATGGCTAGAATAAAAATCATTAACAATTATAAAACCAGAGAATAACAATCATTGATAGGATAGGAGGGACCTGAAGGCTTTGCTCACTGCAGGTGGGAATGTGACACGCTGCCCTCCACTGTGAGAAAGAGTTTGGTGGCTCCTCAAAATATTAAACACAGAATTATCACGTGACCCAACAATTCCACTTTAGTGTATACCCAGAAGAATTAAAAACATACGTTCCCCCAAAAGACTTGTACACAATGTTCACAGCAGCTTTGCCCACAATAGCCAAAAGGTGGGAACAGTCCCAATATCAACGGAACGGATGGAGGAAAACTGCATGTGTCCATCCAGCGGAATATTTTCAGTCACAAAAAGGAACAAAGCACTAACACACACTATAACATGGATGAATATTGAAAATGATATGCTCAGTGAAACAAGCCAGACACAAAAGGCCACATATCGTATGATTCCATTTCTATGAAACATCCAGAATAGGCAAATCCAGAGACAGAAAGTGGATTAGTGGTTGCCAGGGCTGGGGGTGGGGCGGTGGGATATGAGGTTTCTGGGATGATGAAAATATTCTGGAATTAGATAGAGTGCTGGCTGCATAGCCTTGTGGATGAACTAGAAACCACCGAACTGCTATAACAGGGTAAATTTACAGGATATGAGTTACATTTCAATAACAAAAAGAGCCTCACGCCCAGTTGGCCCCCAGAGGGCCTTCGCTGTCTTTCAAACCTGCTCCAACGCCCCTCACATGCCAATGCCCGCCCTGGCTGGGGGAGTCCTCAGTGCCCAGCCTGGTGCTGCCTCCTCCAAGCAGGCCTCCCAGCAGCCTGGACCAGAGAGGTGGGACCAGCCTGCAGACCTCACAGGAGGGCCCCACCTCCCCAAGCCAGCCTATAAATGCTTCCTGCAGAATGTGGGGTGGGGCGCCAATCCTATGAGACAGCCTCTGGGCTCATGCCACCCCTCCCTACTTCCTCTGAAAAATAAGCAGGTTAGAAGCCACAGGCCTCCACTCACCTGGGGCAGCACTGTGATGCAGGACTAGCAATCCCCCAGGGTCTCTTTGAGGGCTGCCTTAGGATCTCTAGCACCTTCCCCAATAAGCCCCAGACTCGGCCCCTGGCTGCCCGCTCAGGAAGGAGAGGGAGAGTCCCTTCTTGAGCAGGTCTCAGCACACACCTGAGGATAAGGCCAAGGATGGGCCTGGGTGCTGGTGCCCTCCACCCCAATGCAGCCCAAGCTTCCGGCCCACCCAGGTCCCTGAGTGTGTACCCCCAATTCGCCAAAGACTCAGGGCAGCCCTCCTTCTGGGGGCCAGGCTCCCCTCTCTTTCCAAGAGGGCATCTGACCAAGGGGTCTAGGCCCCCCAGCACAGGCACCTCCAAAGCCCCTGGAGGACCAGGTGGAAATGCCACCTGCTAATCATGCCGGAGAAGAAGAGCCAGGCCTGAGAGGAGAGCCAGTGGGCGGCCGGGAAGGTCCTGCCTAGTGGCCAGAGGCCAGAGGAGGGCAGCAGGAGCAGGGCAGCAGCGCATGGGTTGGGTTGCAGCCTCAAGGAGGGGGCAGGGAGGACTCCCACCACCCACGTGACCCTCCCCCAGGCCAGCCTCTCTGGGTTTCTGGGCTGTAACTGGAGCTGCCCTGACTGTGAGCCTCGGTGCCAGGCAGAGATTTCGGAGAGGGGGAAGGGATAAGCGGGCCTGGATCAGGTCCTTCCTCCTGCTCCCTCTGCCCTGCGCGGCGCGGTGAGAGGCCCCCTGGATCCAGACAGACTCTGCCTCCCTTGGGCCATCTCCTCATCCCTCTCCCTCCGGCTTCTGCCCCTTTGCTGGGCCAGGAGAAAGGACTCCAGAGCCCCAGCCCAGCAGGTCACCGTGGGCCAAAGAGGCAGAGCCTCCACACACGGTAGCATAAAGCAGACTGTGTGTTGCCCCCTCTCCTCCTCCCAGGCCTGGCCCTTCCTGGAGCAAAAAGCAGGGCAAGGTCGGCTGGCTGGAGGAGCCATGGAGTGCCGAGCTTTCCCCACACGCCACATGCCCACCAGGACTTTTCTCCGAGAGGGAGCTAAAACACACACTAACCGCTCAAAGACTTCCTCAGAGGCAGAGAGCAGGGAAATCAGAAAGAGGGATGCTGGGGCGGGGGTGGGTGGGTGGGTGGGGGGAGGACACGGGCGGGGAGAGGGCATCTGGGAGCCAAGACCCTAACTTCCCCCTGACTGATCTTCCCCAGGAGGAGTGGGCAGCAGCAGAGTCTAGGCAAAGCACAGCTGGGGCAGACAAGCCAGAGCAGACAAGCCCCGGGTGTGTCTGGAGCCTGGGGAGCAGACCTGCGGCTGGGCCAGGACAGCAAGAAGGCACAGCTGGCTGACAGGCCAGGGTGACTCACCCGTGGACCTGCGGCCAGACGGCCATCCTCTGACCCTCCCTCTGCCCATGAGGGCGAGGGGAAGGCTGCACAGATGGCGCGCGGGGGTGTGCCAGCCTCCACACAGCCTGGGCCCCAGACAGGGCCAGACCCACAGGCAGCCAGGAGAGGGCCTTGGGGTGGGGACTCCAGGTAAGACACGGAGCTGACCCCGAAGGACAACCCAGGAGAAAGGAACAGAAGGAGAAGGAGGGGGGGGACACACAAAGGAAAAGTTTCCCATGAAAATATTTTATTTTCTTTGAGAACAGGATACACCTGCAGGGCTCCTCGCCCAGTCGGCCTCTCCCCGCCCTGGCGGTGCCACATTTCTGGACCAACAGGGCCCTCTGCCGGCCAGGCCACCACCTGCCGGCGCGGGGGCCAGGGGCTAGGGAACAGGTGAAGGGTGAAGGGCGGAGGGTGGCAGCGGGGCGCGGCCGTAGGGAAGGGCACCTCGGACAGATGCCAGGCCGAGAGAATGGGCCATGGCTTCAGGGTCGGGGTGGGGGTGGGGGGAGAGTGAGGAGGCGGAGAAGAGCCGGAGGGCTGCCCTAACGATGCCACCCTACACTTAAGTGTGCCCATATGCGTATCGCCGCGAGGGTCCCCAAAGGTCGCTGGGTTGGATATCCCAGATCTGGGAGCCAGGAATGAGGAAGGGTGGGAAGAAACGGCGGAGAGGGGCGCGCGGAAACCACGCGCGGCCGCCCCGAGAGGCGCCCGGCGCAGCGACCCCCGAGCAGGCGCGGGCAGCGTTCACGGCCCCGCCGGGCCCTGCGCTCCGGCCGGTCCCGCAGACGCGCTCCGGCGAGCCGGGGCGAGGGAGCGTCCGCAGCAAAGCGCAAGAAAAATAAATTCCTCCGGCTTGGAGTTATTTTTTTTCCTTTGGGGCTCAGTACAAGGAACATCTGGATTTTGTACGTATTTTTTTGTTGTTGTTAAATTAACTTCTCGAGGAGAGAAAGGAGGGGGAAGCTGCAGAGGGGGCGGGTGGGCAGGGGCTGGGAGGTTCCAGGCGTTTGGCAAGAACTCAGCGGCCTAAGGGCGCCGGGACCACACCTTGGGGAGCCCGGCGCCCGGCTGCGGCCGCGGCGACGACGACCCCGGAGGCACGGGGGACAGCAGCCCCGCGCCAGCCCGTCAGGTACCCGGGCCCCCGTCCCCACGCCGCGCGGCGGGGACACGGACCCGCGGACCCGGCGACGCGCGCACCGCACACAAACAGCTCCCGGCAGCCCGGCAGCCCCGCCGACCGAGTCCCGCGCACCTGGTGGCGAGCCCCGCGCCGCCGCCGCCCCCGCCCCGGGCCTGCCCGCCCGCCGCCCTCCGGGCCGCCCGGCACCTACCCGAAGTAGGCGGCCGAGGGGCGCAGCGCGGCCAGCAGCAGCGTCAGCGCGAAGGCCACGGCCAGCCAGCGCGCCAGCAGGGGCCCATCCAGCATCTTGCCGCGCCGCGGCGGCTGACCATCGCGCTCCCGGCCCCGCGCAGGGCGCCCCGCGGCCGCCGCCTTCTTATAGCGCCCAGAGCGCCAGGCGGGGGCGGGGCCGCCAGCTGGGCCCGGCCCGCCCCGCCCGGGGCGGGGTCACGCCGGCGCCGGGGGCGGGCCGAAACCCGAGCCCGACGCCGACGCCCGCCGCACCGCCCGCCGCCCGCGGGCCTCGGAGCGCACCCGGCGCCGGCGGAGGGAGGGAGGCGGGCGGGGGGCGCTGGGACCTCGGGACCGGCGGGCGGGGCGGGAGCGCGCAGAGGGCCGCGGAGAGGACGCGCTCCCCGGCGGCCGCGGAGGCGGAGCCGGGGCGGAGCGTAGGCGGCCCGGGTGGAGACGGGGTGAGGGCGGGCGGGGCGGCGGGCGGCGTGGGAGAAGGGGTGGGGACGTCGGGGGCGCTGTGGGGAGAACTCGGGGCTGCGGCGGTGGGAGGGTGGGCCGGAGCGGGCCCGGGGTGGAGCTCGAGGCCGGGACGTCGGGGGTTGGGGCTGCTGGGGACCCGGTGTCTAGCCCCAGCTGAATTGAGTCGGTCCGCTCCCCGGGGAGTTTGGAGGAAAGGGAGCCGGACAGCAGGTGATGTCCGCGCCCTTGGCGAAACCGACTGTTGGGGAAGCGAGGGGCGGGGTTGGGGGCGCTGCTCCCTGGTCTGTTGGCCTGGGGATGGGGCTACCCGGCCAGCTCAGACCCCAGCCGAGAAGCTCAAGCTTTTGGGACATCTGTCTCCCCATCCTTAGATGGAAGATGAGGTAGAGGCTAAAGTCATAGTCACTGCTGATCCTCTGGTGACCCTCTCCTCAGAGTCTCTGTAGAGGGGGAGACTGGAAGAAGGGGGCTCCAGGAGACGAGGGGAAGGCCTGGAGTTGGTAGAGACAGAAAGGAGAAGCAAATCGTGTCACCCTGAGACCCCAAATCTAAATTAAAACAGATGCAGGAGGGGGTGTGGCATCAAGGAGAATCTTGACAAGCCTCCTGGGCTTGGACTTTTCCCTGTCTGCAGCCACAGGCGGGAGGACAGCAGGGCTCTGAGTGCGGCTGAGCGGCACTGGATGCCCACACAGTGTTGGCAGCCTTTCGATGGCAGTGAGGGCCCGAGGCTGGGTCAGCGGGGCAGAGTGCAGCTCCCTATCAGAATCTGAACACGGAGCACCTGCCTTCGGCCCAGTGCCTCAGTCCTTGGTGACCTGTCTCTGGACAGTGCCCAGAGGCAAAGCGAGGGGGTGGGAAACGCACTTCTCAGTGGTCCCGGAGCAGGACACCATTCAGTTCCTGCTTCTCCAGGAAGGTCATCCAGGTGAGCATGCTTGTCCTCCTGGGGAGCTTCCGGTGCATGACTGGGTGGGGGGTGGGCAGGAAGGAGATGGGGTCTGGGCAGATCACTCTCTCTCTCTGGACCTGTTTCCCCATCTGAGACCCATCAACCTCCGGGGAGCTGTGGCTCTTTCTAAGCTGCAGTGTCATGTTGTGGAAGCCCTGTGTGGCATTGCCTCTCCGTTGGTGTGACAGCCATCATTCCTCTCTCCAGAGACCCTCCTGTGGGTGGGGTGCTCCCTTGCCCACTTGGTCACCTCACCAACAGGCTAGCACAAGCGAGAGAGCTCCAGGCCACCCAGGCTGCAGGCCTGGGGTCACCCTGCCCTCCCCACCACAGCGGGCACAGCCTACAGCGCCTCCACCTGAAGGCCTGGCCTCCCACCCGGGAAGTGTGAGGCATGGCGAGGGGGCGCAGAGTGATGACATGTTTAAAGGCACTGAGATGTCGTCCAAGAAAAATGAAGTGTGAGATTGTAAATGTGTGTCTGGAAGGCAGTGCCAGCATTACAAGCAACAGAACTCCCTTCTTGGCGAGCTCGGGGTTCTTGTTAGCTGCCTCCTGAGTGTGAGCAAGAAGGCAGCCACCTGAGGCCCAGCCTGGGACCCATGGGCAGCAGCTAGCACAGGGTCTGGAAAGATGAGCACCTCCTGTGGACTCTGAGCACCACCATGGTCCTGTCAGCTCAGCCAGCCCTAAGCAGCTCCACTGTACCCCACTTGAAACCCCAGATATCAGCAGGAGAGGGATTCCAAGAGACCCCTTCAGTGTGGAACAAGGCCTACAGAAGAACCAGGCTTTACCAGGCCACATGGTGGAGGCAGCGCCTAAGGCAGGCTATGAGGTCTGGGAGAGGCCACCTCAGCCACTGCCCCTGCACCTGGGGAGATGGCAGCTGGTGGAGATGGTACCACCAGCTACCCCCACCTCATCTGGACCTTGGACACAGCCAAGCCTTAACCCCACCACCCATCAGGCCTGCCTACCTTGCCCCATCTCTGCCTGCATTCTACCCCCCACCCCCTTCCAGTTACTGGGGGTGGGGGTGGGGAGGAGTCAAAGTGGCCTTCAAGGCATCTGTGGAGTCCAGCCCTCTCCAGAGGGGACCTTTAAATGCTCCCACCTCTGTGTCTATAGCTACTGCCTCCGCCACACCCAGTCCAGCCCACCTATGCTAACGGGTCACCTGTCACACCTCCCCTGGCCACTCTCCTTCCAGGCTGGAGAAGGAAAGCGAATTCATGAGGAACCGCCATTGACAAGCCAGCACCTGCTCAGTTGATCCTGGATGGTAAACTGAGGCCCAGAGAACTCCTGCTGAAGGAGCAGGGCAAGCTTTGGGACAAATGCCTGAGCCCAGCTTCCCCAGCTCAGGCCCCTCAGACACCATCTCACCGGCCTCAGGCTCAGCATGAGAAGCAATGTTCTCCCCAAGAGCAGATCTCTCTCAACAGGCATGGCGTGCTCTGGCCAATAGCAACGTGGCCCTGCATCAGAGAAGCTGAGCTTTAGGCTTCCTTCATCTCTGTGGCCACCAGGCCTGCCTGGCACAGACTAGCTGGCCAGGAGAGGACAAGTTGGCAGGGACTACAGCTGCCCTGCACAGACCAAGGCAGACAAGGAATGGTCCAGATGGGGCTGGGTTTGTCTCTGCCCTGCACACTTGTCTAACAAGGGTTAGAACATGCACAGCTCCAAGAGGGCTGCATGGTGCCCAGAAGCCGTGTGTGCTCTGCAGCAGAGCCCATTCAGGGATGGGAAGCATCAAGGCAGCAAGCCATGAGTGCTCACCAGACCCCGTGCGTTTGCAGATGTCCAGCTTCATGAGGCCTGGGCCCTGTGAGCTGCCGGGGTCGGCACAACAACAGGTCCTGAGCGTGTTGACACAGGGAAGAGCCTGACCATGCAGAAGGCTGCCAAGGCCTCATCAAACAGCAAAGTCCTGCTAAGTCAGGGGGAGTGGCCACCACGACACCAGGCTGGACGAGGGCAAGCTACCCAACATATGCAGGGCACTATCTGGCGCAATAGCGAGGCCCCAGTGGTCCTTTCAGAAGCCTCCCAGTCCCCTCCTTCTCGGGCCAGAGACAGAGTGGGAGAGGAGGAGGAGACGGGACGGGAGGCCCACCTTCCCAGTTGGCTGGGATGGCCATGCCGCCAGGCTGCTGCCCGGGAGGGGGAGCAGTTCTCTCAGGTGGTCTGGGAGAGTGGGTGAACAGCCGCTTATCAGGAAGCATTGCCTAATTGGGAAGGTTTATGGGGCCAGGCAGGGGGTCTCCCTGGGGGAGACAGCAAAAGCCACTTATGAGTCATTTGAAACTGAGCTGGACAAAGAGCTCAAGGAGAAATGATCCCACCCAGGCTGCCAGTCTGGGCAGAATGAGCTCATAGGCTGTGGAGCATGCGTGCGTGTGTGCATGTGTGTGTGTGGTGTGTGGCTGCGCAGGGTAGGAGGGGGGAGAACACTGGTGCTCAAACAGCTGGGACTGGGAATTGGAGCCCAGCAGGGCCTTCACCACAGCCCTCTCCCTGCATGGCCAGGCTGCCCCCTGCAGGTTGGCAAGGGAAGGGCCCAGCATCCTGGCCTAGCATCCAGTTCATCATCCTCATCCAGCATTCTGGTCCAGCGTGCACACACCCTCTGGACAGTGCCTAGCACAGTACCTTTCTTGGGATGGATGCCAGAGAGATGTGGTTATTCTTCATGGTGGGACACTCTCTGTTGCACGTGTTGGAGACTGGATGTATAAAACGAAATTTTTAACGTATTTCAAAAGTTTTAAAACATTGTTTTTAGAGAAATGTAGATTCACATGCCGTTGTGAAAAAATAAAGAGAACCTTTGTTCCGATCAACCATTTCCCCCAATGGTAGCACCTTGCAAAACCCTAGGACAATATTCCAGGAAATTGACACTGACATAGTCCATTGACCTTGCTGCATGCAGTCATTTGTGTGCACATGCGTCATTCCGTGCACTTTTATTACACATGGAGGAGTTTTTTTTAATATATTTTATTGATTTTTTTACAGAGAAGAAGGAAGAGAGAGAGTTAGAAACATCGATGAGAGAGAAACTTCGATCAGCTGCCTCCTGCACACCTCCTACTGGGGATGTGCCCGCAACCAAGGTACATGCCCTTGACTGGAATCAAACCTGGGACCCTTCAGTTCGCAGGCCGACGCTCTATCCACTGAACCAAAACGCTTAGGGCACACACATGGAGGCTTCTATTTCAACCACCACAGTCATACTGAACATCTCAGCACAGGATCCCTCATACTGCTCCCCCTTCCTCCTGGCACGCTAATCTGCTATCACTTGGTTGTTCAAAAATGCTATACACCTGGAATCATACAGTATGTAACTCAGGATTGGCTTTTGCATTGCGTATAGTTCTCTGGGGATTCACCCAGGTTGTCAAACGTATCTATAGTTCCTGTTTATTGCTTCAAAGCAATTCATTTACGGATGCCCCACGGTCTGTTTAACCATTTGCCCGCTAAAAGACATCTGGGTTGCTTCCAGTTTCTGGCTACTACAAACAAAACTACTATAAACATTCACGTACTAGCGCAGGGTCTGTGTGAACATGGGTTTTGTTTCTCTGGGACCAATGCCCGGGAAGGCAATGGCAGGGTAAGGTGGTTGCATGTTCTATTTTGTAAGAAACTGCCAATGTTTCTAGGCGGGCTGACCATTCGTTCCATCAGTTGTGTGTGAGTGGTCTACTTCCCACCTCCTCATCAGCACTTGGGTTGTCGCTGTGTTTATCTGAGTCACTCTGATAGGGTGTAGTGGAATGTGGTTGTGGTTTTAGCTTTCACTTACATAATGGCTAGTGATGTGGAATAGTAATGATCTTCATCTGCTGTCTGTATCTCTTTGGTGAAATGCTTGTTCATCTTTTGCCCATTTTCTTCTTAGATTGTTTTATATTGAGATACATTAAGGGTATGATACTTTTGTGCCTGCTTTGCGAATATTTTCTCCCAGTCTGTAGCTTGTCTTCTCATCCCCTTCCTATGGGCTTTTGTAGAGCAAAACTTTTTCATATTGATGAAGTGTATCAATGCTTTTTTTTTTTCTATTGGTGATGTCTAAACTCTTTGCCTACCCTAAGATTCTGAAGATTTCTTCTTTTTAAAATACAAGTTCAATGTTTTTACAGTTTACATTTAAGTCCATGATCTGTTTCAAGTCATTTTTTTTTTTTTCTAAACTGTGAGGGTTAGATCGAGGTTCATTTTTTTGACAAGTTGCTCCAGCACCATTTGCGGAAAAGGCTCCTTTCTCCTCGGAAGTGCTTTTGCGCACCTCTCAAAGATCAATTGTGATGTCTGTGTGGGCCTTTTTGCCACTTCTGTTACCTTCCATTTGTCTTTGTGTGTGTACCTCTGCGATAACACACTGCCTTTTTTGTTAAATATATTTTTATTTATTTCAGAGAAGAAGAGAGTGGGAGAGAGAGATAGAAACCTTACTGATGAGATCGAATCATTGATCCGCTGCCTCCTGCACACCCCTCACTGGAGATCGAACTTGCAATCCAGGCATGTGCCCCGACCAGGAATTGAACCATGACCTCCTGGTTTTTATGTTGACACTCAACCACTGAGCCACACAAGCCAGGCCCACACTGTCTTTATTATTATTATTATTATTATTATTATTATTATTATTATTAAATTCATTGTTGAAAGTATTGCATAGGTTCCCTTCCCTCCTCCCCCCCATTGACACCTTCTAGCCTGCCCACAACCCCTTTTCAACCTCCCCCCTCCCTGTTCAAGGCCTTCACCATCCTGTTGTCTGTGTCTACGGGTTACGCATATACGCATACAAGTTCTTTGGTTGATCTCTTCCATCTACCCACCCTCTGCTGCCTTCCCTCTGAGTTTTCCCAGTCTGTTTCGTTCTTTCAAGTCTCTGGATCAATTTGGTTCAACAGTTTATTTTGTAGATTCCACAT